AAAATTAATGATGACATAATTAATGACACATGTAAGCTCTCTCTCTCTCGCTCTCTATCTCTCTCTCTATAATAATTAGAACTTATCAGCCCATTTTCATTGTATTCTCCGTCCTAATTTCTAACAATGGCAATTTCAGATTATCAATAAAATTAAAAGATAATCGAGTTCAAAATGATGGTTTCTCACTTCTTGATTGTCTTTATATTTGGTAGTTATCAAACTGCTCTCTATTATCTATAATATTATTAAAATTCAAACGGACATGCTACCACCATAGGTCATCGTACTTTTTATATGATTTGGCGCCACATGAGCGCTATGTGTTGCCTTTATGTCTCATCACTTACACCTAAAACTCTTCGTATGTGTAATTATGTAACTTTCATATTTAATTTTCCCATAAAATGTAACTCCTTAGTAATTGCACAATATTCTACAATTTAATTTGTAAGACATTAATCACACACCAATGGTTATTGATTCCTTAGATGCTAATTTTCTACATAAATTAAGTAACAAAGTCCAATCGAGTATATTTACATAGGTTATTATATTACTTCCTCTGTTTTTTTTTAATGCATCACTTCTATATTTGGTAATTATATACTATATTTTACTATTTCTCTCTATTCCCTAAAACCTCACCTAAAATATTTTATCATTTCTCTCTCTTTTTCATGTTCCGCACACACTTATATGATTTTAAAAAAATATTCTTACTCACAAACTATCTCTTTCATAGTTCACATTATACTTTTTATCAAAATAAATCAATCGCCCACTTGCATAACATAATATTAAAGCAAATAACTCTCCTAAATCTCTGCGTAAGCGAAGGGAGTATTATGTAAAGTAAAAATGAATAAAATTAGCACCCATTAATCTTATATTTATTATTATGTACTTATTCACTTACAAATATTATTGAATACTAATCTTTTAAATTTAATTTTGATCAAACTTAAAAAGTTATAGTGATCTAGGCACCGACCGGGCCAATAACTAGTTTTATTTTAAATCCTCCATTAGATTTTGTACAATATCGACATACTTTGTATATATTGTGTTGAGTAAATTGCAAGTGGGGGAATGGTTTTCTCTTTGTTGAGATGTAACTCCTCTTGCCTTTGTGTGTGAGGCTTGAGTAGTTCAGAAGAGCGTTTGTTATCATCAGTTTGAAGTGGATTTTCTAGATCCTGGTGATCCTCAGGTATGGTATTTGTATCTTCCTAATATGATTTGTTCTCTAACATGGAGAACTCTTAGGAGCCATGGGATAACTTTCAAATACGTAAACTAACATGGGTTTTGATTTGGGGATTTTACCCCCGCCACGTGGACAAATAAGAGTGTGACACGTGTCACCTTAGAAGGAGTCCAAGTGAACCTCTCAGGACTTGACACGTTGCATGCAGATATTCATCAGGGAATGACGACCTTCAGGGCCCAATTCCCGAGAAAGCCGCAAAGCGGCGCAACCCACCAAATCTAGGTCAGACTAGCCTAGGTAAGGGCACATTTACCAATGACCCTATAAATAGGGAGATTTACCCCATTTTAGGGGCACGTTTATTTTATTACAACACAATCAATTCTCTCACGTCAGATGATAGGCTCGATCCCGTATGTGCCCCATCAGCCATACAGGCCATTTGCCCAGCCTTACTAGCAGTCTGCCCTCTTCGGGGATCAGGCGGTATATAACGTCCAGCCACTAGACTGACAGCTCCGTCTGCTAAAACTTGGAGAACAACCTTCTGTGTTCTACAAGGAGATAACCGAGGCGGCACATCCGGCTAAGGTTAAGAATGTCATGGTGGGTACTTATAATGGTACCACCAACCAGAAGACCACCTGTTGGCATACACCCACCTTATGTATTTGCAGGGGTTGGATGATGTCGCATGGTGCAGGTGTTTCCCAGCCACGCTGAAGGGCATTACCTAATAGTGGTTCGACAATTTGTCGGCTGGGTGCATCAAGAATTTTAGAACGCTTGCGTTCTTGTTTGCCTCAAACTTCTCCATGAACATACCCGCCATAAAGACAAGCCTTGACTTAGGCGCGGTACAACAAGGAGACAGGGAAGGGCTCCGCTCAAAGTCAGGCGGTTCAATCTGGTGAGAATCCAGATCCAAGGACTGTCTGACGATGTTGCTTACACAGACTTCTTCAAGGGTCTGAAAGACGGGTCAACCTTCAAGTACGACCTTGTCCGGAAGGATCTCCACTCTTCAAGAGGCGCTGATGAAGACAGAAGTCTATATACAAGCAACCGAGCTCTGCTCCACCAGCAAGCAGTCGGACTCTAAGAAGTCTAACAAGCAAAAAGGGAGTCGACAAGAACAGCCGGCTTAGAAAGCTAAAGAGAGCAAGAAGAGAAGAAATCTAGGAAGTTGACGATTCTGATCAACCATCCTAGAAGAAAAAGAAAGAGTTTAAACCGTACGTCCCCAGGTACGAGTCCAACAAGGACTGCTACTCCATCCTCATGGAGATAAAAGATCGCGTGACTATTGAGAAGTCCGCAGTAATGAAGGGTTCCTCCAAAAATCGGAACAAAGACAAGTACTGCCATTTTCATGAGGATATTGGCCATGACACCAATGATTGCTACAGCATCAAGCGTTTATTAAACAATTTGGTTGATAAGGGGATGTTGAAGTCTTACATTCTCAAGTCCAAGGTGACCCTGAAGACGGATCCCAGACAGCCGTAAAAAAAGCCAGCAAAGCCTACTAGTAGTTCTGACACTGATAAGGAGTCGATCTACACCATAGCATTTGCTTTTTTCAGAGGGGGTCCAACTATCAGGGGCACCAAGGACCATGTCAGAAATATGGATGTCAACTCGGTCGATGAGGGTCAGGCATCTACTGACACATTTCCTGAGGTCATCATCTCTGAGAAGGACCGAGGCGAAGTCCGCCGGCCGCATGATGATCCTATTGTCATTGAATGCAAGGTAGTCAACCAAAGGGTTGGCCGGATCCTCATTGATACCGGTCTCTCATCTGACATCATCAGCTGAAAGTGTTTGTCCAAGCTGAAGTACAAGCCAGGCAGCATGCACAAGGTCACTCACCCCCTGGTTGGTTTTGGGGGAGGAGTTGTGCACCTAGTCGGCCGAATAGATCTACCCATCTGGCTGGGAGAGAAAGGAGGGGGGCGCCACATGGTCATCCGGTTCTTGGTCGTAGAAGAGCTGACCGCCTATAATCTTGTTTTGGGCCGTCCGATTCTGAACGAATCCAAAGCCATCATTATCCCATCCCTCATGCTACTGAAGTTTGAAAGAGATGACAGTTCTGTTGGCTTCCTGAATGAAGACCAGAAGACGGCCCAAGAGTGCTATCTCTCAGACGTCAAGCCCACGGCGGCAGCAGTCGACCAGGGTGAAGAGCCAATAGAATAGACGATGTCAAGGAACCAAGGCCTGCCCCACCACCACTCGGTAAGAAAAGAAAGGTCGACCAGTTGGTCACTGTCAAAAAAGAGAAGCAATAGCAATCACTGACCGAGGAATGGTCTGGATGACGCGCGTCCAGAGCATACTGTTAAGGTGAGGATGGTTGCCTTTGCAAAATTGGGGGCAGACTTACACAATCTGCTGAAGGAATTAAAGGAAATCTTTGCCTTTGAAGTGGAAGAGATGTCAGGCATCAGCCCGGATCTTGCTGTCCACAAACTCACCGTGGATCCAAAGAAGAGGCCTGTTAGGCAAAAGAAAAGAAATCACGGCGAAGAGAGAAGTCAGGTGGCAGCCGCCGAAGTAAAGAAGTTGTTAGATGCCGGGTTCATTTGGTAATGTCACTTCCCAGACTGGGATGCAAATGTTGTTCTTGTGAAGAAGTCGAATGGTACATGGTGCATGTGTGTTGATTACACAGATCTGAATAAGGCATGTCCGAAGGACAGTTATCCGCTTCCAAAGATTAACAGTCTGGTCGACTCTACAGCCGGACATGCTTTGATGAGTTTCATGGACGCCTATTTAGGTTTTCATCATATACCCATGCGGAAGAAAGATCAAGAGAAGACGACCTTTGTCACTGATCAGGGGTTATGCTATTATATTGTGATGCCGTTTGATTTGAAGAATGCGCCTGCTACTTTCCAACGAATGATTAATACGGTCTTCATTAATCAAATCGGAAGAAATGTAGAGCATACATTGATGACATGATAGTCAAATCCAAACTACAGACGGATCACCTTGCTGACCTCCGAGAAACCTTCACCACACTCAGGCGGCACAAGGTCATGCTCAATCCCAAGAAGTGTGTCTTTGGTGTTGAGTCTGGGAAGTTTCTCGGATTCTTGATTGATCAAAGGGGGATAGAGGCCAACCCAGAGAAAATACAGACGGTTATTGACATGAAGTCACCTCGCACTGTAAAGGAAGTTCAGAAATTAACCGGTTGTCTGGCGACATTGGGGAGATTTCTCAGCAGGTTAGGCGACAAATGCCTCTATTTTTTCCAAGCGATCAGAAAGAAGACCATGTTTGGATGGGGGGATGATACTGAGTCGGCCTTTCAAAAATCGAAAGAACATTTACACTCTTTGTCAAGGCTTGTTAGCCCTTTGTCCAAGGAGACGCTTTACATGTACTTAGCCATCTCAGATCATGCCCTTAGTGTTGTTCTCCTTGCTGAGAGAGACGGCATCCAGCTCTCGGTCTATTTCATTAGTCATGTTCTTCGAAATGCCGAACTCCGATACCCAACAGTTGAAAATTTTGGTCTCGCCTTGTTCATGGCAGTCAAGAAGTTGAACTCCTGCATTAGATGAACTTACACTATCTGCAACAATGCCTTGGTATGTATATATGCCCCTGATCACACTGATTTCGTGGAGAAGAAATTGTTCCGAAACCTTCTAATAAATGATACCCTCGTCTAATTTGTAACAGATGGCCGGGTTTAAATTGGAGCATGAATCTAGTTTTGTTTATGATTTATAAAGTTAGTTGTCAAGTTTAAGAGTACCGTGTCTTAATTGCAGGAAAGATTATTAAAATACTACGTAAAAGGCATATACTTCATCAAGTTGCCTCATTTTAAATGCAATCATCTCAATCATCAATTTTGAAACTAACATCTGATCAATGAAGGCCTAATCAAATCACCATTATAAACTTCCACTTATCTAAACGATAGCTAGGGGGGTCAAACTCGTTCCCTCGTTCGACATATTAATATAATCAACTCAACTGTATAGGTGGAAGAAAATAACAAAGAGTAAGGTGTTCTTAAAAATGCACACTAGCTTGAGAATCAAACTATAAATTTGATCAAGAGCTAGCAACCCAAAATGGCTCCCAATTTTGCAATTCTTTGCACCTCCTAGCTGCTCGTTCTTCATTACACCGGCTTCTTCTACTAAAATTACTTGATTCAACTTCATCTACAACATTTCCACTACTTCCTTCCATCTCATTATATAACTGTCCATCATTAACTACATACTCATCATCATTGGCATCGCCTTCATTGTTGTCGTTACCATCATAGAATTCATCTCCTTGGGAATATTCTCGGTTGCATTCATCTTCAACCTCACACGAGTTTTCTAGGAAACGAAGCGTAAGCCTTCCATTAGTCCTCTCAGCCTTGAAACAACTCTGACTGGTGCCAACACTAACTGCCTTTATAACTAACCTCCCATCTTGCCGTTGAGATTCAACTTGAAATCCACCCGAACAACCACTCCTAAAGGTACTTATTGGTGGTGGGAAGCTATTGCTGCTCGTCGACCTCTCTTTGATCATAGTAACACAAGACATTCTAGGAGATTTTTCAAATTCGGATACAAAAGATGAAGAGATTAGTTCATCCCCACTATCACTGATAATGCTGCCAGTTTCACTCCCTAGGCTTTCAGTACACATCTCCAAGCTTTTCTCACTCAAAACTGAAGCTGATTTTTTGACAAGAGGATGAACATACTCTTTCTCTTTCTCCTTATCCTTGTCTCCCTCTTTCGCAGTTTCGGAAATATGAGTTGGGTTTGTAAGAGCTTGCAAGAAACTCCAACCACCCAAATCACCATTTCTTGAGGTCTTCTTTGGGTTGATTATTTCACTACAAATGTCAGTCTTGTGGGAAGTTTGTTGTTGGGTATGTGAGTTGTCTGACCTTGGAGACCTAGGAAAACTCACAGTAGACAGTGAAATCTTGGGTGCTGGCTGAGATAATTTGAACCCGATGATCCGAGGCTCGGCGAGCCACGGATCAAACTGTGATTGCATCCCTTGGCACACACTTGTTGACATAGTGTTAAAACTGAATACGGAGGAAATAAAACAGGGGGAAAAATCAGAGTTGATCAAGTTAACAAATTTATAAGGCTAGAAATTAAGTTTTGCTGATTATTTAAAGCAGAAATAAGAAGATATGTAGATGGAATTGTAGTAAGAGGAGATATGAGGAGAAGAATGGTTTGATATGAAGGAGAAATGGAAGAGGTTGTGAATTTATAGGCCAAGATTAAGTACTGTAGTAGTGATGAGAGAGGATCTTCCATGCCCACCAATACTTTTTTTTTTTTTTTTTTTTTTTTAGCTGTTGAAATCCACCTCACACTATATACATTAAAATAAAAGAAAGAGAACAAAGGAATCAAATTAAATTGGGTAAGAAAATTTTTAACCAGGACGGTTAATTCATAAAGTAGCGATTAAACTTTGTAAAACACTCACTCACTCACAAGGAAGACACTAACTTATATAGCTGGCTTTATTGAATTCATAAATACAATAAACGTTCTTTGTACATCACGATGGGGTTTTTGTTATCTTAAGACTCTTGGCCTAGTGAAGATTTTGGATTTTTTACTAAATTGAGCTTTGTTGGCTAACTATTTACCAAATTGGTCTCGTGGCAAAAGTATTTCCCAAACTGAGCTTTTGAGGTAAAACGCTGTCTTTTACACCTAGAATTTTTTTAAAAAAATTCAAGAAGTAAAACGCTATCTGAGACAGCGTTTTACTTGGTTGACTTTTTTTACCCAAACTTCGTATTCCTTTATTTATTAAAAAAAAAATACCTCAATACAGTAAAACGCTGCCTGAGGCAGCGTTTATACCTTTAGCATAAAACGCAGCCTGAGGCAGCGTTTATATCTGTAGCATAAAACGCAGCCTGAGGCAACGTTTCTTGCGGAGCATAAGTTCAATTTCTGGTGTGTTTTTCACATTCTCACAAACGCATTTTACACTCTTTCTCTCACTAAAGTAACCCTCATTCTCACAAACACCGAACCACCGCCGCTGCCACCGCCGCCCCTGCCGCCGCCCAAGTGAAGGGAAGCTATTGCCGGCATTGTCTCACTCACTCACTCTCTAAATCCGGCCTAAATTCGTAGTATAATTTGACATTGAATAGTTGGTAGTTTTTGTATGTTGTAGCAAATTGTGATGTAAATTGTACTAATTTGTTGCTAATTAGTAATGAAAATGTGATAAATTGTTGATAATTATTGATGATAATGTGGTACATTGTTGAGGAAAATAATGTGGTTTATTTTTGATGAAATTGTTGATGGTAATGTGGTTTATTTTTGTGAAAATAATGATGAAATTGTTAATGGTAATGCGGTACTAGTATGTTGATAGTTGTATGCGGTACTAAGAGTTAATGAATTTGGTGTTGATAGTGAGAATGGGCTTGTTTCATTGTTGTCATATTAGCTAGACATGTAGGTTCTTGAAATTTGATATAACTTTCCATTATCAAAGCTATGTATGTTATGTATTGTTAAATTAGGGTTTATTTACGTTGTTTTAGAATTCGATTATCCTTAAATGTGTTTTGGTTGTTATGTAGAATATGGCTACACAAAATGTAGTGTTGTTATGCCGGTGGGGAGGTGAAATTATGTGTGATGGATCAAATGTTGAGTATAGTGGAGGGAATATGGAACTTATAACACTTGAACCGAACATGACTGTGATTGATCTGATGAATGAGGTTCACAGTAGTATCGGCTCAAACACAATGAATGTTGAACTGAACCTTAAAATGAGGTGTGAGACTGGCCATGGGGTTCAATTGTTACCTGTCTCTACAAACAAACATTTAAAAGCTTTGAGAAGCATTGTTGCAATGAAGGGTGTTCCCAATAATATATATGTAGAAACGGGCTATATGTACCTAACAAAGTACTTGGGCAGAACAACATCCTACATATGTCTCCGATTACAACACCGCGTCCTTCCAAGGCCCCTCAAACCACATTCCACCGAATGAATATGGGATGGGAACTTTCAGTCGCTTGCTGCATGACGATCAATTTCAGATGCCGTTTAGTACTCATATAGGTTTATCGGTTCATGCGGGGGGGTGTGGGACAATGTTCGGCCAATCCGGTCCGTCGACATCAAACACCGTTGCTCCGTCACCGATGTGAGATGAGGTTCAAGCATCACCGTCTCAAGAAGAGCCAAGTCATTTTGATAATATTGTGAATAACGAATTGTCGGTGTACGATGTGTATGCGGATACTGATGATGAGGACGATAATGGGGAGGAGGATGATGGGCTTGATGACATGGATCTTGAAGCTGGGCAGATGGAAATTGATGAGCCCTTGGTTAGAACTGCAGTACCCTGGTTTAGTCAGATAACTGAGAATTATGAAGTTGATGAGTATTGGGCCGATTCAGGAAGTCATACATCATTTGTACCAGGGGGAGAATTCGAGAAGGGGATGTACTTTGACAGTAAGAAAACGCTTCAAGAAATGGCGAAGATGTATTCTATACAGAGAAATCAATTCTACACCACAGTGACCTCAAATGAGAGTGTCCTTCATCTGCGTTGCAAGAAGAAATGTGGATGGTCTCTAAGGAGTACCAGGACAAGTGAGCACTCGCGTGGCTTCACCATAGTCACATACAAAGGCCCGCACCGCGAGAACTATGTTACCAAAGTACTATCTACTGATCACCCACACTTGGATTCATCCATAATATCTGAGTTTGTGAAGTCCTTTGTGTAGAAAGATCCGACTCTAAAAGTTGAATTCATACAGGAACTCATCTGTACAATACATGAGTCCGGATAGTATTAGTTAGTTGATCTTTTTGTGGTACTCAGATATTTAACAATGTTGTATATAACGCTTACATTATTAATACAAGAAATGTTTTTTAAATGACTCTCTGTACAATTTGAAGATCATTTCCCTTATTTGTCCGAATTTGACTTTTGTCAGTAAAACTATATCTTTTATCGCCGTTATATATATCAAGCAGCATATATTTGGTCTCCTGCACTTAAAGTGTTGTTTCACGATGGTTGTAGTGCTGTTGGGGTTATTTCCAGTGTTTGATGGTTGTCGGTGGTGGTCGATGGTGGTGGAAAGGTTGGGGCTGGTGGTGGGAATGCTCTTGCATTGTTTAGGGTGTTTTGCATTGCATATGGGTGGTGGAGAGTGGCGGCCGGTGGTGGTGGGGGAGGTGGTTGATGGTGGTGGGGGTGGTGGGAATGCTCTTGCATTGTTTAGGGTGTTTTGCATTGCATAGGGGTCGTCGAGAGTGGCGGCCGGTGGTGGTGGGGGAGGTGGTTGATGGTGGTGGGGGTTGTGGTTGATGGTGGGGCTGAGGCTGAGGCTGAGGCTGCTGGGTGAGGATGATGTCTAGGGGCAGCAGCAGAGGGACATGAATAGCAGCAGATGGACAGGAATAGCAGCAGATGGACAGGAACAACAGCTGGCTGCTGGTGATGCAGTCAAGCAGAAAAACGCTGCCTCAGGCAGCGTTTTATTCTTTAACATTAAACGCTGCCTCAGGCAGCGTTTTAAAGCCCACATACATATTCCAGTATATTTTGCCAAAATACATACCAACAGATCAACACCATAAAACGCTATCTGAGATAGCGTTTTACTTCTTGAATTTTTTTTAAAAAAATCTGGGTGTAAAACGCTGTCCGAAGTTTAGTTTGGGAAATACTTTGTCTGAAACAGCGTTTTACCCCAAAAGCTTAGTTTGGGAAATACTTTTGCCACGAGACCAATTTGGTAAATATTTTGCCAAATTAGCTCACTTTGGTAAAAAAATCCGAAGATTTTAAGGAACATTGCATATATAAATTGTTTTTTGTAAGGGGACAATTTCGGAAGAGATTTCTATGTTCCTCACAATAATAATTTCGAATTGTAGTTAGGTGATCTTGACTATACCTATGGACAATAGTAATCATACCCTTTATATATATATATATATATATATATATATATATATATATATATATATATATATATATATATATATATATATATATATAATTTATGTTGCTGGGGTGTGGGGAAATGTATTTTGAAAGTTTATTTTATTGTTGTATCATTAATTTTAGGCATAAACTAGTAAAAAATACATAGAAAAACCTTACCCTTGACCATTTCACTTGACCATTATTTTCCGTCCATCCCTTGCACTTTATTTTATGTCCTAATCTCACATAGTTATTGCACCTTTTATTTCCAGCCCTTATTCCACATTTTGTTTAATAATTTTTTTTTCTAAAACAAAAATAGTCATGAAAGTTTAATAACAGGACAAGGACAATTGCATAAAAAAAAACTCGAAAAGAAAAACAACGTCTAAATTTTATAAAACACGGATTTATCATTAGTGGTTATGTTTAGTAACGGGTTCGGTTCTTATGTGGTTTAGTATTATTTGGAGTGGTTCAATTTCAGGTTTATTAAAATACGGTTCGGGTTGGTTTTCGATTTCAAATAATCGGTTTTTATCAGTTCAGTTCTCATTTGGATCGATTGGTGTCGGACAATTATACGGTTTCGATTCGAAATTTGACATTGCTATTAATCCTTTTTTAGAAAAAAAAACATAAGAAACAAAGTTGTATCATAATGGAACTTATCTAACAAAATTAGATACCACTAATTTTTGTGAATTATCAACCTAATAATAAAATTACTCTTCAAATGGGGTATTTATATTTGCATTATTCACGTGTCTTACATTGCTCATATATTCCATTAACTTATGAAAACAAATATTACTACGTGTATTACGTAATTATTGGATTTGTTACCGTATAATTTACTTCCTTCATATTTTTTTAGTTAACACCGTTTGACTTTTACACTATTTATTCACTACACATTAACTAACTTTTGTGATTTATAGCTACGATAAATCATAGTCAAATGAGATCTAATTTGAATCATCTCCATGTATATTTTATTAATATCCACTTTTTATAATTTTACAATGTCGAGAATTAGATATATTAATCGTTAAAATAGTGCGTTGGCAACCGTGATAATAGAATTGTGTCAATTAAATAAAAACGGAGATAGTATTAGATTGAAGGGAGTAATTTTATGTCTTTATTTCTTAGAGGGCCAAATACATCATAATAGAGAAAATACAAGTTTATCGCTTTCATAAATCCAACAAATTTTAAGCAAAAAATAAGTGAAATATCAGAGGCTAAACCAGTTGAAATATCAGAGTGTAGGAAGCATATGATATCCATGTGAATTGAGCAGCTTTACTCGACCAACTTTAGGCCCTCAATTTCGTATCACGAAAGGTATCCCTCAATATAAAACGCAAGCTCTCTTAACCACAAACATTTTTGGCTAAGCCAGATAATTTCAGTTGCACAAATTTGCTCAAACTGTAGATACAACTTCACTGCATAATCCTATCATGTAAAATATACCTTTACATTTTCACTAATAACGTGAGCATATTGAAAGTTGATCAAAACCTGAAGAGTTTATTCATATTCCTTCCGTTCTTAAATACTCGCAACAATTTGATTTTAAGACTTTATTCATAGATTAACATTGACTATATATTTTACTATTGTATTATATTAAGCCCCTATTATCTTCATTTGAGTTTTTGCTTAAATTAAATTATTTTGTATAAATTTAAATTATTTTTGTTGAAATTCAGTTATTTTTTACGAACATTTATTATTTTACTAAATTTAAATAATTGTTATTTTAGGTCAAAGTGTGCATTCACAAGTGTTTCAATTAAATTATTACGAGTATTTAAGAATAGAGATAGTTTTTCACTTTAACGGGAACATTAGGCAACTAGGGTAGCATAACATTTACAAAGAAGGGTGATGGGACGATGTACTTGTAATTTTACCTTATAGAGACTAATAAATCCTGCATCCTAAGATTAAGGATAGCTTTAGTAGTTAGAGCTTTCCTCCCAATCCCATTCTCATCATCAGCCCATGTGGCTCTCTAAACACCAAAAAATCCTAACTTCAACCCCACAATCTATCTACGGCTTAATTTAGACACTGTCACTCGAAATTAATCATCCGCAATTCAAGCACGCCCTTGTTGTCGAAAATATCATTTACTATTCACAAAATAACTGCCATTTCCCCAAGTTAATAACATCATACATACCAAACAAAGGGTAAAAGTCCAAAAAGATCTTTGGATTCACTTTCATTTTGTGTGGTATAAAAAGCACATCAAATTGAAATTCACCAAAGAGAAAGCTGAGTAGCCAGAATCCAACTAGGTATACAACTAGCAAAAAGCAATTTCAGCCAGTACACTAAAGATAATTTAAAGAGTCAAATAGTCGGCTACTAAACAAACATACAAAAGCATTTTTAGCGTAATCTTGAAAAGCCTATGTTATTAAGGAGGCTAAGAATATGTGCTCCTAAGAGCCTAGCTAACGCACAATTTGGAGCCTAAACCGTCGAATTTGCTGCTGTAATCCATCTTTAGCAAATAATTTAATCGATGTGAACTAACTAATCAAGGGTATAAGTATCTTGCAAACTAAGCAAAAAAGTTCTTACTGTTTGTTTCGTCACACGGCTTTTCCCTTGAGAGACAAAGGGACTATCTCAACTCGACTTTCTTCGTCATGGCTTTACAGTAAGCTCACCATATTATATGGATTATATAGGACCAGCTTTATTAATTTCCAAGTACCTTTAATCGGGAAGACAAAGGAGGAATCAAAAACATCGCTTACACAAGCATTTCAAAGCCTCCATCTTCTTCCCGTCATCTCCTTTAAAGCTTTTGACTACATTAAAGTATTGCCTTTTTTCTCCCACTGATAATTCAGACGTACCTTTCACATAAGATTAAAGAAAAGTATGTACGAACGCAACGCTTCATGAGAATGCAGAGATGTCAGCAGACTGATGATTGTTAAAATAACAATTCAACAGATAAACATATACCCTGCTGGACGGTCCTGAGAGAATTTCGGTTCTATAAAAAAAACACGTAGTGGAATGCAGCAGAAGCTTGAAGGCAGCTTGATGGACGAATCTGAATCTCTCACTATAAAATAACATCATTATTTTTAGTATAGTGATAAAGACTAGAGTCGTGGAGCTACCACATTTAGTATAAGCCAATAATCACTTAGAAGAAGTCAAAACTTGTTTAATCAAGGAACTAAAAGAACAAAGGAATAAACTTCATTTAAAACAGTTTGACACAAAGTATTCGTTTTACAGCATGCAACGTTCCATATCCATTAGCGAAAAGCCAGCAGCAACTGACACATTTTTGTGCCAAGATTCAAAGCCACGAGAGCCACACATTTAATCACCACAAAATATGTTGACTTACAAGCCTACAACCACATTATCTGAGAACGTTTCGGGAAAAAAAAAAACTAATGCAGCCGTTTCTGATTGATCATTTAAACAGCCATCCATATTATTGTATAAAATAACAAAACAATTTAACAGAATATAGTCATATAGAGTTCACGAATCACTTACTATACATTATATACCAATGACGCAAGATTTTTCATCAGTAGAAAGGGATTGCCAAGAAAGCTCATGATAAATGTAAATTCTGAAGTTCAACCTGTAATGTTTGTAGTTTTTTCTCAACAACGGTCAGTTGTTCTCGAGTTTCCAACAACTTGTGTAATCTTTGTTGTGCTGCTTCCTCATATGGTTTCCCGACTAGGGATACAAAGTCTTCCATATTCTTGACGGTGGTCGACAAATCCTTTTGCATGGCATCCACAATTTCTTTTTCTACAACATCCGCTATATTTTTAACGCTATCTAGAACCTTTTGCCTACGAGCTGGAAAATTTGAGATAGCCAACAAACTGACAAAAAAATGAGGACCTGTTAGCTTAAACCATATTTAAAGAGCATGAATTATAAAAGGCTCAAAAGTCCACAACTTCAATTCCCAAAATTTAACCAAACTGAAGGAATTGAGCACTTAACAGTCCCTAATTTTAAATCCCCTGATGGAATAGCTACTTCCAGTGCATAGTATGACCATAGCTTTCTCAATTGAGCAGATGAATTACATAGCACCTATTTCGGAATCATCTAAAATCCATTATAATTAAAAGCAATCTCAAAACACATGAAAAGCCATGCAAGACAATTCTAGTAGTCAAATTTTGAATTCATAAGGCTTACTGATCTTTTGTTTCTAACAATAGCAAGACAATTCTAGTCATTTAGTAAGCAAATCAAAGTTCAAACTTGTAATATTGGTAAAGATACTGAAAAAACATGTGAATTAAGCGCACATCACCTTAGCAGCTTAGCCTATAGGAGGTGACCAAGTAGGATAGACTACTATTCAGACCAACTTTAGGTTAAGCTTTTTACTCAGTTTTTTTAAAAAAAATTACTTATTGAAGAAGGCAATAATAATTCATGTCATCCAAATTAACTCTACTACAAGTGTCAGACTGAGATGTAGGATATTTTGTCTAAAGTTAACTCTACAAGAAGTGTCAGGCGCAGCCGCACAGGTATGTGTCATCCAAGTCTCAGACACCCATTTACAAGTGTCAGACAGCCCATCTTAAATTTTGCATATTTGGTCCAAAATGAATTGTCCTGCATGTTTGGAATGAAAATTTGAGGAGCTGGAAATGAAATCACAAAAATATTTCCATTAAAAGTTGTGTTGTTGCTGAGGGGTACAATTCTCCTTGCTTGACGGTAAATGATTCCTTACCCTCCACAATCTCCTATAACCCTCTCAAACAGAGTTAACACATCATGTACCCTCCTTAATCTTCTTCCTCCCTCATTTGTTTCCATTCCATGGTAACATCAAACAATCCATACAAGTGATGTCATCACCCATTCCCTCTCATTTGATTCCACACCATTACATTTTCTCCAACCATACCAACACACCCTAAGTGTCATACCCATGTCCAAGTTTCAAGTATCCGATGTGGGTACTCAGGGTGAAATGTAGAGTCAGAACAGCCTAGATGTTCATATAATGCATTTATGCCCAGAAAAAATACACAAGGATTCTTAAAATCTCGAAAAAGACAAGAATTCAATACTATTTTTGCATATAGAACTACATTAAATTTTAATGCAATAGTATAAATCAGAGAACTCTCATTAAAAAATTACAAAAAATTACAACGGTTTTCTGTAATGACTCATAATATAAAACAGATAATGAAAAGTTGCATGTCTTTTACCCTAAAACAGAGGGAGTATATCATTAACAAGGAAAACAGTTTGATTGAGGTCCCATTTGTCATGCAATTGTTTAGTAAAGATAAGAATATATTTGTATATACATATATAATATGTCAACTCCTACCATTTTCATCAATAATAATAAAAAAAATAATAAAAAAAAAATATTAAAAAAAAATTCTACATCCCAGTTAAAGCGTCCGCTTTTGCTTGTCACAAAATTTGAGAGAAATCATACGAACTTGTCACATTGTATGTTGTTGTTTGGTTTAGATTGAATCATGTGTTAGATTACATCTTGAGGTAGAAGTGTGGGTGATATGGGATATTGGATAATATTATCATTTATATAAGACTCAAGTTTAAATTTATGATAGTAAGCCTACATATTTAATTACTAGGTTAGTCCCGTGCACAGTTATAATAATAAAAAATTCACTTGTAAGTGTGTAACATAAATTTTTAAGTAAAACATAATAAATCGTGATCCCTCTCGTTAAATTTATTGAGCTAAAATGAAGGACATAAATATTCTAATTAACTTCATAGCTATAATAAAATTTTTACAATGTTAGCTTTACCTTAAAAAATAAAAATAAAAAATTGATGTCAACAATAGTTTTGGAGGGAAAATTTTTTATAAGAAGCTGTCACGTGGATAGTTATGATGTCAGCTGTAATTACTTTAGTATTAGTTATGGATGGATTGAAACATCACTTCAAAGAAATGTAAACATATTTTTTGTGAAGGAACTCAGGAATAAAAACTACCCATAAAATACCAATTAACATGTTCAAATAAAATTCTGATAAAGACCATTGATAAACTATATAGACCATTAATGATGCTCCATCAGGTAATAGGCCATAACTCTCATCATTAAAAGAACAGATTCTATGTGCACAGCAGATATTGTGGAATCAGACAATTCAACAAGGAGATGGAAAAAGATATATTACCCGCCAGCAGAACAAAGCCCAAGTGCTAGAAGGTCTTCTAATGTAGTTGGCAACACTGATGTGAGTAGTGAAGCAGATAAACCAGCAGCTCCTAGACCTCCAAAGGCTCCGAAGAACTGCAGAAAGAGAAGAAAGGGGCAGTTAGAAATGGTTCAACCTGTACATTAAAAAACAAAACAAAGGTGAAAGTAATATTATGCTGTGGTTGTGGGAAATATCTATCAGGTAATACTAATTTGAGGTAAAGAGTAACATAGGCTCATAATTTCCAAATGTGAACTCAAAATATATGAAAGAAGATTTGCAGAAGACAGCACTCACCACTTGACGAACTTCTTGGTCAAACAGTTTTGAAGCTGCAGTACCACTAAACTTTTCTATTGATTTTAAGCTCTGGGTATCAACTTCTCTCAGCAGAAGATTACTGGTAAAGTCCCCTTTGTGGTGTTTGTCAAAAAGTACAGACCATCTTTTCTCAAATGTCTCCTTATACTGCATACCTTCACGCATGTTGTTTTCTCTTAACCAGGACATATATTCCCTAAGAATTCTCTGTTTTTGGAACCAAATTAATTAAAGAAAACAAAGACTTCTGTTATAATTATAAAGTAAAAGAAAATAATTTAGTGCCAGACAGGAAAACAAAAACGACTAGAGAAACTTGCTCTGAGTAGACAAACATTAAAACAACTAAGTTGACCAAAATTAGGAAAATCTTTTTGAACACGGCCATAATAAAACTCGCAAATTTCAAATTTTCTCAATTCCATCCTCAAAAAGTATTAAAAGCTGGCCTAATTTCTTGCCCACTTGATCCACAAGCTTTAAATATATCATTCGAACCAACCTATTTGAATAGAATAAGCTAAAATATATACGTGCAAAGAGATCAGCATTTTTTTCACATCAATTTATAACAAGGAAATTAAAATAAGTATGCGACCATGTGATGATCAAAAGTACAATTATATTATTCCAATACATCTTCAGAAAAGTATTAATTGTAGTTTAAGTGTATTCCTCCATTCAACATTTTATTTTTTGTACCAAAAGAGGAAAATAGATTAATTACTAGAAGCATATTTAAATGCTGAGCAGTTTTAGATCAACTAATTAATCCACATATCTTCACATAAAGACATATTGGTTGGTTGGAGTAGTTAATACAAGGTGAGTAAGATAGTCTCATTCTAGCCTCTTTGACAAGAGCATCAGCTACTTTGCTCACTTTCCTTGCTCCATGCATGTTACTTAGCTTGATAAACCAATGCAGTGACTTTGGCCTTCTAAATGAAGGTTCTTAGCTACGATAGCCAGGTAGATTGTGAACAGGAATGATCTACATCTAAACAATCCAGTATTACGGAATTCCCGTGTTCTTTGTCAGCAAAAATGAAGCCAGTTTAGAATAAAAATGCAGTTCATCAATCACATCTCACTAACATGTCCCACTAAGTTAAGAGGCAATTCATTGAATGGTTTTGTTAACATATATGTTACCATAATGCAAACCACAAAAAACCAACAACCAAACAAACAAAACGAAGAAGAAGAAGAGGGGAAGTGTGGGAAGGATGGGGGGGGGGGGGGGACTATTCTACTCTTCTTGAAGAAATGATTGATTTAGCTTTTTAATGAAGGTTCTTAGTTTAAAGAACCAGGTTCACAGTGAATATTATGATATCAAAAGATGATCTACTTTAACGCATCATATCAATTGTCAGCAAATACGGAGCAGGTTCGATAAACCATGCAATTCATCAAACTCGTCTTAACTAACATGTCCCATTAAGTTGAAATGCTGTCTTGTTGTCGTGCAAACCACACACACACCAAAAAAAAAAAAAAAAAAAAAAAAAAAAGGATCTACTACCATTCATCCTGTAATAATTGAGCCAAACAGAAACACCTGACACTCGTGAACTACAGTCAACTAAAAAACGGAAATGGTTTCCTTCCTCCCCTCTTATTAGCCCAATTTCAGAATATCTGCGCCTGCTGGAATATGTATCATTCACTCAAATCTAAATTTACTTTGCTGGTGACCTAAAGTTTGGAGTGCTATAAATGCTACCAGCAAGATGGCCAAGATCATTAAATCCCGCAATCTTTCTTCCTTTCTCAAAAAATTGGAATGCAACATTTCATTGATTATCCAACTTTGGATTTTCTGTCATTTATATGTGAGGATGGCTTCTGTCCTAATACTCTTGTGGATAACTACAGGAAAAAAAGACGCTAAAGTAACAAAATAATGCAATCCCCATAGTGAATCATCACAAGCAAAGAGGTTCGGAGGACTTGAAGACAAATCAAAGAGACAGTAAGCAAGCACTTAACAGATATCTCTATCTGTCCTGGCACTAGAGTCAAAAACAGTAATAATTCCAAGAATTGCTAGAAATAATCCTCCGTCATTTTTTATATGGGCTAAAAAAGAAAGTTAAGGGATCAGCAGAGAATATAAACCACTGTCAATAGATGAACAAGATAACTGAGGTGTCAGACCCAAAAATCAGACATTTAGATGTAAACACAATAAGTATGAAAATTCACGCCAGATAGAAGCAACGTAGTTTCCATACATGATATTCGAAGAACTAAATTTGGAGAAATTCAATTATTTGAGACTAACAATTCAAAAGTAAAGAATTGGAGAGCACCAAAGGGTGGGAAGAGAAAATATGTCTTCCCCCCCGCCCTCCCCAGCCCTCAGCAAATTAAATAGTGGAGGTAGCAAATTATTTTATCCTATACACCGTACTGATCTATGCAAGCTGGTTAAAAGGAATCCAGTCAAAAGACCCAGCAAAATCCTCACAAGGAAGCTAAGTTGGCAAGGAAAAATAAAATAAATCAAAATCTACATCCTAATTGACTATAGAAAAAGATTCTCATGCCAAACAACCTTCTTTTATTAACCAAACACACCCTCCCTCAAATCAAAAAATCAAAGTAAAAGCCCTCCACCAAGGTTCCAAGTAAAGTTTCCCTTTGTAATGACCCAATATGGTAGCAAGACACATTCACTTCACCTCATTGCAACTCCACATAAAAGGCTAAAAGCAGCAGCAGTGCATAGCTGCTTGAAGGGGAAGATACAAGTGTATAGTCACTAGGAATCTAACTTACTTGAGCATCAGCAAGTGCAGGGTTGACAATGTCATTTTGAATACTCTGTGTGGCGGCTGATGCAGATTTGTCTCCTCCCAAAAACATTGAAAAAGCAATATCCAAATTGGATAGCTGCAGGGTAGATTCCACCAGTTTTAACATACGCTCTTTTGCACTGCCAACCTACAGTTATACAAATTACACCCAGGCATCAGTTATCATCTCATAGATTTTTTTTTCAGATAATCAAGCAAGTTAATACTATAAATATAGACTCAGACCAAGTGTACTTTTCGCACAATTTCTAAATATACTTCATCTACCAAAGGCTCAATTATTGCAAGGGTGGAGAAAAAAAATAAACAACTTTCTATTATGTTTATGGGATCCAAGACTAGAGAATCATGGTAGCAAGAATAAAAAAATCTAACACTCTTTTCAAATTTTCATTTTATCCCAGTTGATTCAAAAGTTCAAATCAATAGACTAGTGAACAAAGCAATGATGAAACAAGATTAACTAAGCCTGCCGTATACCAGGGAGAAAATTTGCCGCCTCCACGAATTGCTCTCGTTTTCCATTTTCATTCCATACTCCTCAACACTGCGAACTAACTCCTTCACTGATATTAAGTCCTTCTGGGCATATCTGCAGTCTTGTGTCACCAGTGTTTGACAGGCAGACAATAGTCGCTCAGCAATTGCAAGAGGTGTTTGAAGCTTAATTGTCATCCTCTCAAGACCAGCAGTTGTTGAACCATCCATGAAGTCATACAGAAATTTCTCAAATTCATCAAAAGTCTTAGAGCTTGAGTAGGATTCAGACATTAACAGATTTTGCTGAACTGTTCCATCAGTGCTCGCAAGTTTTGCTTCGAGAGCAGAGCGTGCAGATACAGGAAATAGTGTTACATTTTCTACATTCAGCAAATTCCGCACATTATCTCTTACAAATGTAATGGCTTCATCAAGCTGCATCAAATTAGTAGAAAGGGTTATGTTACACCTCAGGAAGGACTAACAGGTAAAAACAAAAGGCATATCATGCGCAGTAGCTAATTAGGACTGCAATTCACAGTCCCAATTCCCAAACTCTACACAGTTCTCAATAAAATGTCTGGTTCCTCTACAGCGCTATGCTCATTGCATACCTGCAGAGGATCTAAGGCAACAATGAGATCCCAAATCTAAAAATTCAGTGTACATAGGTCATGAACTCTGCTGGCTCATACGTCTACTAGTTGTTTTTCAATATTCAAGAAAAAATATTTAAAAAGAAAAAGGGAGCACTTTTTTTATTGTATCTTGTCTCCTGGTCTATTATTTGCTTATAACTAATCACCAATTAGGTTTGTGATAAATTCAATGCTCAATTTAAGTTACAATTATACCTCATTGCCATTTCTGTACAGATCGGCTTTATTCAACAAGAATAGTACTTTTTTCTTCCACTGCTGAGTATAGCGTAGGAATGCAATCTGAAAAACATTAAATGAGGTCCAAAATCAACACCAGTTTGAAATAATATTCAAAAGCATCAAGTTATCCTAATGTGTTAAGAGGATAATAGCTACACAAGACTAGCTAGCATAAGGTATCTATCATTTGCACCATTTACTTCTACAATCAACCATACTAAGTTTCATCAATACTCTTATCAGTTCAGAAAACACAGTCAACATGCAAAAAAAAGCTTATTTCTGACCTTTAAATAAAATGTAATAACAATTGTTTCCAAAGGAACTCAAATCATGTAAAACATAGCCTAGGCATTTAGGCAAGGATATATGAGCACAGATTGGTTGATTTCATCTAGAATAAGGTCAGCTCAGGATTTCCTAAAACCTTAAACTAGAAGAAGGAAATCATCATACCATAAGAAAACACAAACATAGGAAATACTTTTTCTATACCTTCCAACACCAAAAAAAATGTGGCGTGTTTATCAATTATTTGCATACCTACTGATTAATAGATGATCTAAAAAATATTCCCATTGCAAGGTCCATGTTTTACTTAAACATCCAATATTTTAGTAATTATTTGCTATTTCTACAATAACTACTCAATTTCTGTTATTGTAGTTCCATAAAGAGCAACTCATTATGTTCTTATTTGGCAGATGAAATAAATTATTTCACTTAACTTGGCACACCATTTTTCTCTTCCATACTCTCTTTTTATCTTCAGAGGAGTAGTATCAACAATGTATTCTGCAGTTTTCTTTGCTTTTATTAACAAACTGGAGAAAGTATTATATGCTAGGACCTGCAAACTCTGTTGAGTGGCATTAATGCAACAATATTGGTAGCATTCTAGCATGTTTTTCCCCTTTCTAGGCCCACTTTACCCTTTCTTTCCTATTTTTAATCCTTTTCATACTTATTCATCTATTACTTAGTTAACCCTATCTTACCCTTTTATGCCCCTAATTACACTTTTCCCCTTGTTTTTTCAGTAGTTTGATACTCTTACGTGCTTTGTGTTGTAGGAAAAGAAACCAAGGATCAAAAAAGGGCAATAAACAACAAGGAGGACTCAAATAGGAGCAGTGCAAACGCTCCAGCTACAATAGAGCAGGCTGCAAATAGTTTCAAGCGGCCTCGTGGCCTTGAGTGACCAAAATCTTGGCATTCACGAATCTTCTGAAGGAGAGCTCAAAACTTTTATCTACCATCCAATTTGTTTTAACCACTTTCAAGTTGTAATTTCAGGGGTAGCATAAACAGTTTCATACAGAGTACATCAATAAATTAGGACAGCTTATATTTTTTGGAAAGCTCAGCCTTTAAAAGAGAGTAATTTATTAAGAGAGAAGTTGAAGAGTTCTTGGAAAAAATTGAAGATTTATTAAACATATTAGTAATTTTTCTTTAAAACTTTCTCATGTTTATCCTTCTAGTATTTATTTAGAAACCAAAAGCATAAACTTTTAGCTCTCTAACTCTCTTAATCTTAATTTATTCTTAATCTAGCTATTTAGTGTTGATTGCTTGAAACTAGTATGTTTGATTAGTGATAGATTATTCTATAAATAATGATTTAGTCCATATGGCCTATGATTTCTCTTTTTAGTTCCCATCGAGCATGATGTTATTTACCATAGTGACTAGTTGAATCTCAACTCTAGCAGAACTATGCCAATTTCCAAAGACATCTTGATTAATGCTATGAAAGAGTTTTTAAACATAAGTAGTGAGTAGTCTCTTAGTTAGGGGTTAATTGGAGACCCAACCATGCATGTTTGTGACTACTTGGAGGATTTGGGGGAATAATTAAATGGTTTTTTATGATTCTTGAGTTCCCGTTTAGTTTGATTGCATTGATGGAACCCTCATTAGTGCATGTTTAGGATTCTTGATTTAGTTAAGCTAAGTGTTACCCTCTTAAATTGATTGATTAGTTGGATTTAAATGTGTCCAAATAGGTAGAGCATGTGGATTTAATATTGTGTCAATAGCAATCGTGGCTATAAAATTTATTAGCTAATGTTATCTTAATGTGAAGTAAAAGAGGAATTCTTGCTTGTCTATCAATTTGTCATCATTCCAATTGTTCAATCTCGTAATCTATTTATGGTTCGAAGTAGGTTATCAACATTTAATTCTCTTCTTTGATTTTCACCGGTTAAACTTGTGCACGTTGTGTGTTGAACCTATCCTTAACGTTTTTCCCTATTGTTAGTTCTTTTAGATTTCATCTTTATAGTAGTGGAACTAATCAACTCATCCATTTTGATCTAGCTTGTCACATGCTTTATGGTGTATTATTCTCATGACTCCTTTGGAGATGACCCTTGATTATCACTTTACTTAAGTTGGTGATTGGCATAGTTGGCAACGACCAATTATCTCCTCATCACATTGCACTTTACATTCATAACATTGAAGAAAATTAAGAGAACATTTCTTAAGCCTCAACCTTTTACAAATATTGAGTTAAGGTACAATCAACAAGTTGAGGCTCATGAGTTTTAAGAATTACTTTACAAGGAATCAAACGAGGAAAATATAACCACTTTCCAACCTTCATTTATACGTATTCTTTCAAAACAATCAGAAATTTCAATTGCACTCTTTAGATGTTCATGATCCTACATCTGCAACAAAAAGCTCTCCACATAATTATGACGCCGCACAATACCTGCTACAATTAAAACAATTTATTTATGTTTATCCATATTATAATGGCTAATTGACCCCTAAAAAAGAAATTAAACTTAATTTTTCTTGAAATTAAAAAATCACATTCTTAGTATATTTTTACATAGATCAGAAATAAAGCATTCTGTCTATTTAATTGCTCACTTTCCTTTTTGGTCCATCTTACTTTATATTGTTAACCATAGCTCACTAATGTCAAGTCTAAATAAAGCATCGATTGATACAAATTATCATAGTAAACATAAAATGTGTACTGTCTTATGAATGTAAACTTTATAGCTTAATTTGAATTAGTACAGACAATTTTTGGGGAAGAAATAAGATCATCAGACATGTCAAAATAAGTTGGATATAACACAGTCAACAAACCCCTAGTATAAGCCAATATCATAAGGACAATCATCTTGAATTGGAGAAGATAATGAGTTGTGCAGCCTGGTTCTCAATTTTAACAATGATCATGACAGAATAGCACAAGAAGCAAACCATACCTCACTCTCACTTAATGGACGGTCAGCAGAAAGAACAAAAAGGAGTAAATCAGCTCTAGGCACAAATTCTTCAGTGAGGCGCTGCTGTCTTTGCAGAATGACATTAGTTCCAGGTGTATCAACAATAACCATCTGCTTTAATAGAACAAAAGGTAATTCATTTACCTAAGCAAACGGCTCACAAATATTGCCTCTTAATTAAAATAGGGTAAACATTCTGCATTAAGAAATGTCAATGGAACCATTTCTTTACGTATCTAAAGCTGTAACTATTAAAAACTTGTCTAATGATTGCATCATTCTTGGCAGAGATCATGCATCTATTACTCTACATGGCTATATGCAAATAAAATCTAGATTTTAAAAAATCAATGCTTCTCAAAAGAAGTCCAAACTGCAAACCAGATTATCATTTTTTGTACTATTAATGCAACATTGCTATTGCTGAGATATGAATCCAATTCAGGAAATACTCCTTCCTTTCCAAATTAGTTTTGACATTTGTCTTGACACATATCAGAATCCAGTAGGGTATTATTATATAGAAAAGGCAGATGTGATAGGAAATAATAGGCTATATTCAAGTTAATGTGAGATATTGTGGCTGTGTGGAAACATGACTTTTTGGTAGTGGAAAGAGGGACGAATTAAAAAAAATAGTGGGATCTTTCCAAAATAGAAGTACAAAAACTACTCCTTCAATCACTTTGTCCCTTAAAGTTGGCCCCACTTTCCTTTTTAGGTTCTCCCTTTGAGTATTCCCCAACGATTATTGACCATGGCAATAAGGGTCCACCACTTTACTCTCACATTCATTACATTTGGTTCCACCAATTTTATCTCTCATCAACTATGCCCCAATTAAAAATTGAATAAGTACCACCTCGGGATAAAGGAAGTAATCTGGGACACATGATAAATAAAGTGTGGAAACTAATCTGAGACAATTGAGGTAGAAAGATACTGAAAATTAATAGAAACTAAGAGTTGTAACATAAATTTACACAAATATGTTATTTCTAAAACTTGGTTTTTCATTAGCAGTTGAAAAAGAGAAAACAAGTAATAAATTGCATCTATAAAAGATTAATAAGACATGAAGTGAAATTAGACCAATTATCAAGTCATAAACTGCTATATTACTCTCCCAGCTATCTTATCTTACATACTCTAAGTAACCCTCTATTCTCAATTATTCCCAAATTCTTCCAATTACATACCAAGTGATATTTCGAATTTTGAGAAACTCATACATAAAGCTGCTACAGATTAACCAGGGGAAGACTGCAGCCAAACACTACAGATAAAGACACATAGCAACCCTACACAGTTTATGCATGGGGTCCACCATTGCCCACAGAAGGCAAATATTTCAACATGTTACAAAAGTTATTAAAAAAATAAAATAAAATAAAATAAAAAAGGATTGCACGGGTGCATGCTGAAAAATAAGATGCGACAGTGCAACACTACATCCATGATCTTTGTTCTTCCTCTTTGTTGACAATTAATAAAATGCTAACAGCTATTGCACATAGAATTCAAGACTCAGGAGACTGTAGAGCTCAATATTACAAGGTAAAATAGAGCAATATGCTCCTGATTAACATATTTTTGTCATTGTAACATATGCCTTGAATCAATCTATCATTTTGGGTGTTTACAGCAACAACAAAGCCTTAGTCCCAAAATGATTTGGGGTCGGCTAACATGAATCGTCATAAGGAATCGTACGATTAAAGAAAAGGACATAACAAAATAATCATTAAAAAGAGTTTGAAAACAGGTGAGTAAAGTGAGCTAACAAAAGAGCATTTAAGGAAAATTAAGGGAGTTTAAAAAGAGAACCAAGAGTAAAATTCAAGAAAGTTTTAAAAGAGTGGTTAAATCGTTGAGGAAAGTATCATTTCGGGTGTTTCAAAAAAAAATCTATCATTTCGGGTGACCCAGCACAGTCTGCAAGACGGAGGTCTATGAGTCAAAGAACTCCAGTTTAGGAGTGTAGGGATAAAGTCCCTAAAACATACGCTATCCGTTACAATGGGCTATGGTGTTCTTTCACAGCTTATTTTACGGGCCTAATCTGTTTTAGTTTAAGGAATTAATACATGTTCCCCTAATTCTTAACCTCGCCTACTTCCATAATCTATATTCTTCAAGATCACTAAAAGCACTTCGTCTCACCTGCCTTTGTGGAACAGCTAATGAATTGATAATGAACCACATAAAATGTGTGCTTTTGACGCCTCTTGTTTATTGATTTCACTTTATCTTTTTTCTTGCCTATAGTCATCTAATTTCTTGAAGGGTGTTTTCATGTTTGTAAAAAGTAATGAGGTATAGCAGATAGAAAGGCTTGAAGGTTTAACCATAAATACGATAGTCTTATAATTCATTTAATGACGCAAACGTGATGAAATATGACTGAAGATGACTGAGATTGGGTTCAATAACACCACATATGCTCTAAATCTACATAAAATAGGGATGTTGCTCAATAAAGTAGTAGGCATCTGATAAACAAACATTAAATTTATGGAATATATGGATGCATAAGCTTATGAGCAACGGCACCAGCTTCAATTTAAAAAATTAAACAACCAAGAGAACCAACCTTCTTTAGAATTTTGGCAGGTAGGTAGCAAATATTTTGACCATCAGGAAGCCTTACACAACGTTGCTCCTCCTTTGCATCCAAATCAGCATAGCGCAAGAAAGTAATCTCATTGGTGGTGGGAACTACACCCTCCATCACAAATTTTCCTCCAAGGAGTGCATTGATGACTGATGATTTTCCGGAGTTAAATTCACCCTGGTACAATCATAAAGACAGTAACAAATTAACCGAGTAATAAATTTCTTCAACAAAGATAACACATTATGTTGTAGGGTACACTCATAGAGAAATCTAATCATCAAATTCTTAAAATGAACACAGTTTTGCTAAACAGTTCATTGTTGCACAGTTCACAATCAAAGAGCAGAAATAACTGATCCAAACTGAACACTTCCAGAGTCAAGAGTTCAGTGTTAAGGTTCAAAGAAATTTTGCAAAGTAACTAAACATTTTAAGCTAACAGAAACTGAGAAAAAAATAAATAAAAATTAATTTTCCCACATTTAAAAAATGAGCCTATCAGAAATTTCTTTCAGTTTTTTCTCGTGCTAAAAACTAGCCATTCAACATCAATGGTAATAAAACTATCTTTCAAGTCATTTACAATTATTTCCCAGTTCAATAATCACATTTACACAACATTTTTTGCACAATTGGCTGATTTTAGCAAGGCAAAGCATGCTGGAAAAAATAGGTCTTTAGCATTAGAGTTTAAAGCTTGAACACTGCAAATATGGGGATATCTTTATTACTCCCTCCATCCCATAATGTTGTTCCCACTGTGAAATTTTCCTTGAAATAAGAGATTTGGGACAAACATGATTTGCAATTAATATTGTACATTGCATGTGTAATTTTATTGAAAAGTGCACAATTCAACGTTGGGAGAAGATAAAACATTAAATGCTTTTGTTGTATTCGACTTATGTTTGAATCAAAAACAAAACGCACTTTCCATGAATTCTATATTCAATCTGGGCAAAATTTTCTGAAAATGTGAGGACAAAATGATTAAATAGGGACACCATAAAAGGAAATGGGAAAATCATTCTGGGACACCCAAAATGGAATATGGGAAAAACATTATGGAACGGAGGAGATATGAGATTTGACAAACATTACAAAAATTGAGACTAGCAAGTTCTTATAAGGTTTAATGAGTTTTGACAAGTTCAGATAAGTAAAAATGAGAACACACCCTTAGATGGATGAATAATATAAGTGATTTTAGGATGAAAATCAAATAATTTCATCAGGAAGCAACAATTCTTGAGGTAAAGTTGAATGATAGTTAAACTATAATTTTATCATAAAACGTCCAGCTAATAATAGCATACAACGATCACTTTCTACAGGGTATTCGACTAACGTTAAACCAAATAAGAAATAACTCTAAAGCTTATCATGCCAAAATAATTATTGAGATGTATAAAGAAAGCTTAATAATAACTCTCATGTTCAGAAGATCAAATAATCCTCTAAGACTCTAAATAGGAAATTCCTCATATAATGACCTTATTGAGACAAAGGATCAATGATCTGCACTCTTTTAGTTATCTCTCTCAACTCTAGAACTATTTCCTCCCTTATCCACAAAACCCTTCATTTGCTCCCTTCACTCCCTTTTTGCGTTTTATCAAATCCACCACCACCACATCCATTGTCTTTTACCATCATAACCAATCAGCCAATGATCAAGTCAGCCATGAGCCACCACAATCATCTTTGGCTATCTCTCTATCACTGTCTTATCTGTCTCTTTTTCCCCTTCAATGTCTTTCTCTCTTGTAGCACAAACGTCTCCTAATAAAAAAGATAAGCCTTGATCTTCCTAATTGCACTAAGACCTGGCACATTTAAACTTTAGGAGTTGAGCTACTTAAACCTAGTTTTAAAGTGTTGAGAAGAAACAGCTAAAACAAGTCTTGAAGCCATTAAATGATTCACATTGTATGCAATGTTTTAAAACAAAATTCATAAGCATTCATGATTTATGAGGTTATTGATCATTGATTACAATGCAATATCACCCAAATCCAAACAATTATGCAGTAGAAAAACAACAAATACAGATACCCAAATCAAGGAGAGAGAAAGATGGATAGTGAGTAGCGACAAAAAAGGGAAATAGCCAAGAAAATTTATAAAAGAAAACAAGACGTTGTACATGTAAGAAGAGACAGCAAGAAATATAGGAAATACTAGTATTTCCATCCTTTTCAATTGCAAAAATTACAGGAAAAGACCCAAAGACCCAGATCTGGATCCAAACCCAATCTATGGCTGCTGCTCCTCCTATTATATCAGCAATTAAGCTTAAGCTGAGTGTTAAGTTCACATTTCTAGGTTATTTATTGGGGATTACAATTACAGATATTTGGGTAAAATTTCTGCCTGGTGCAGCCCCTTCCATATTTCATGTCCTCAAGATGAATAATGATGCAAAAAAAGATGAAGGAAGGAGGCAAAGGAAGTAAGGCCTTGAGTAAAGAAAGGAAAAACTTCAATGAAAAATAATTAGTCATTTAAGACTGAGAATGAGAATATAGAGAGAGAGAAATGCATCAGAGATCAAAGGGTTCCAAGTTTGAAAGAGGGCTTTTTGTCATTAAAAGTCCTGCCAGAAAAGAGATACTCTCTATTATGATCAAAGTTTAAGAATGGTAGGCCAGGAATCTTTAAACAACAAAGGCTACTTTGAGTTTTCTATACCTCAGTCCTCAGAGTTACCTAATACAAGACCTATAACTTTCAGAAAACACCTTATAAAACCAAATTCATTAACCTCAGAGGAAGCGAAAGAAGATGTTAGCCAAGAAAATACATGAATGGGAAAATTTTATAATGAAGCTCTATAATTGATTAGAGGCTGATGATTCCCTGATATGCACAATATATTATTTTTACCCTAATGACCACCCGATCACAGTTACATTTTGTAAAATTATACCAACATGACAAAAATTTTCATTGAAAATCAGAGCTAATACCCATATTATCCTTGAACCAGAATTTTGTTGAAGTTCAGCACTCAATTACCACTATGACCAGCAAAAATGGCTCATCAAGTTGTGAGATAGCATCATTGAGAAGTGAAATTTCCTCCATCTGCATCAGTAATTAATCCTCTATCAAGAGTCACGTGCAACGAAAAACAAATGTTCAAGTGTTAGGACACTTTAAATAACTTAGCTACCCAATGTTAACAATAAATGATCACCAGTGGTGCAGCCTTCTCAATAGTGTCAACTGCTTCCATTAATAACCGTCTCTCCTTCTTTATGAACTGCATTTCTCTGTCCTCTAGATTGACAAAGCTAGCTATCCCCATATCAACAGAAAAGCCATTAGTAGTGTTCAACATGTGCTTATTGAAACTTAAATCTTCATCCTGGCGTCTTATGTCTGTAGCAAGTCTATTTGTAGCTGATGGGTCATATAAAATTCTGCTAAGACCATCACCACTAGACTTCAATTCCTGCAATGAAGTAACAACTCCACTTGCACTGGACATGAGCACCTTTGATACTTCATCAATTGACCCACCATTTGTTATCAATTCCACTTCAACAAACACCGGAATCTTGACATTATTATTAATAGAATTCATGAAATTTTCAGCAGGTTCTTCGGCAAGAATACTATAAATAAGAAAATCAGCACCCTCAGCACTAGAAGCGTTGAGTGCAGCTTTCACAGTTTGCACAATCTTTCCCACAACTGGAAGGACTACTGAGTCTGATTTTGAACTCATCAATGTATTCCTTGCTACTATTGGAGGAAGACCTGTAGATATATACAAGTGGTATCAGCCCATTAAAGTGACATTTGCTTCCATTGTTATCACTTTGAGCATCCAGTGTTTAATATTCAAGAGGCAAAAATAGGTGAGTATGTCTGTAATATTTTTGAAAGTTTGATCAAAATTATTGACCATCATACTAAACCTACTAGAATCAAGAAATGGAAATAACAAAAACTAAAAAACCACAAAAAAAAAAAAAATACTCCGTCCGTAGTCTTTAAAAACTTGATATCAAAAGTAAAGAACTCTAAACTGAAATTTAAACCCTCAATACCTCAACCACGCCATCTAGAGTAAAAATTTGTTGTAGAAACAGACACTAACTCAACCAAATATATCATCCCAAATGCAACCCATCGATAAATCAAATTTTGAAAACAAACGAAGGTCATATTTTGTTCAACTTATTTCCAATTATTTCAATATAAGTTCATCATATACGGATTAATAAGTTTGGGAAAAATATGTTCAGGTAAGTGGTAAGGGATACCCAAGTTCAATTTATAACTAAAATAAGTTTTAATAAGGTTTTATAAGTTCATATAAGTGAAAAATCAGGTGAATACAACACACCCAACACACCACAAAAACTAACAGCACACCAAAAAATTCGACGAAACCCATATCAATTATATCACAAATTAGGCAATTGAAACTCATATCAGTTATACCACAAATTAGGCAATGAAACTAACAACAAACCACAAATTCAACAAAACCCATATCAAGTATCAACTATACCACAAATTAGGCAATGAAACTAGCAACAAACAACATATTCAACAAAACCCATATCAATTATACCACAAATTATGCAAAGAAACTAACAGCATACCACAAATTAAAACAAATCGTACTTAATTACACTAAATTGTAAAAAATAATAACTGTAAAATAAGGTGCAAAATATAACCTTGATCAGATAACAAAACTCCACTAGCATTAACAGCAACAGCAATATCAACACGCTCAGCAACCAACAAATAAGCTCGGTCTCTAATCACAGACTTCAACAAACAAGCAGCCTCATAAAGCTTTCCACCACTACGCCCTTCGTCTCCATTAACAACCACAATTCCAACCCACTTCGAAACCGCCATATCCACAAAATCAACAACTGACCCATCATTCAGAACCTCAGAAGCATTTAATTGGAGCACAATGTTGGGGATTTTGATCTCAGGCCGCTTATACCCACCAGGGAAAAGTGTCCTAGGCGTCGGATTTTTGGGGACGAAAGCATCTGACGATTGAGCTGCATTGTTTTGGAGTGATTTTATGTTGAAAGAGTGGAATTGAGTGAGTTGGTGGGGTGGATTTGGGTGCCTGAATCTATGGAGGAAATGGGTGTTTGTGGGAATACTTGATTGTTTGGAAGAGAGGAAACTAGTGGAGAAGAAATGGGGTGAAGAGAGAGAAGTAAAAGATGACATTGATGGAGATATTGAAGGTGGTGCTATACTACTGTTATTGAGAAGATGGATTTGGTTTCATGGTTTTGTAAGGAGGTTGAGGAAGGAGTATTCAATTTGGAAAGCTTATCTAAAATCTTTGTCTCCTAAATTATTGGGAAAATTTGTTAGGGGAAATTTTGTGTAAAATTACACTAGAGATGGGCCGTTTTGTAAACAATTACCCATTTTTTTTATTTATTTATAACTACATATAGGTTAGCAAACGTTTGTCTAACACTACCCAACAACGTTTTCTGTCCAAATTATACGTTAGTGGGGCCCACTTCTTCTCTTTCTCACCCAATTAACTCCCCTCCCCAACTATATCTCTCCTCCCTCATTCACTTCCCTCCATTTTCACTCTCTTGTTAAACCTTCCATATTTCACCATATTCTTTAGACCTAAGCGAATCTCCACCATAATTTTTCATCTCCTTTTCAAAAAATTGACAGCCCTTACAGCCTTTTCTTTGTTATCTCTCTCTTTCCTACTCATCTTGTTGCTGTTTATGGTAATTTCAAGTCAATGACTGAAAGTATTAGAATGCAATTGAATTCAATCCCAAAGCCAAAATAAGCAAAACCCCCAATTTAATTCCACCCCTAAACCCTAGAAATCAAAATCGTCCCCAAACTGAATTGAAGCTGTTTCGGGGTTTTTTGATGTGTCCTGCGGGAGAGTTACAATTCCAAGAATGCCCTTCGACCGCCTGTACCTGCAAAATCACGAAGACTCCGGTTGGGTGGAGCTCCGCCTCCGACGATCAAGTCAGTGATGAATGGGAGGAAGAAAGTGCGTAAAGAGTAAAAATTACTTCTCGCATAAGGGAGAATTCCGCAATTAAGATTGCTCGGTTTCGGTGTAAGTGCATTTATGATTGTATTCCATGCCCCATTAATTAGGATTCTCCCACTATTTATAGTGGGGAGCATTGGTTCTCCATTTAGGGTTCCTAGGACACGTGTCAGCAGGGGATTGGAGCCCTGCTGACCAATGGCAGGGTGCCACGTGTCGCTCAGCCATTGGGCCACGTGGCTGGGGTAAGTCTACCCCAAACATTTGCCCCTCTCAGGTGCTGACGTGGCAAGGTGCCACGTGGCACCTGAGAAGAGAGCTGACAAAAGATACTAATATATATATATATATATATTCGAAACCCCTTCATATTCTAACTGAAGGAAGAGGGAAAAGCAGAAGGGGAAGGGTCGCGCCCCTTCGCCTTCCGGAATAACCCTTATAAATAGGGGAGGAAGCACACGAGAGCTCATTTACAAACTTCATGAAATTTCTTGAATTTTGAGAGCATCCGGCATTTGAGAGCATCCGGTACTTGAAATTCAGAGCACACGGAGATTTGATAGTTTGCGAGCAGCCGGTTTTCAGACCGCCTGTGAAGTAGCAAGCAAACAAAAGATTTTCGAAAGGGTACCTCAGAGAACCCAGCCGGTATTCAAACCGCCTGTGTCTTCGCAAGCATCCCCAAGAAATTTCTTGAGGTATTCAACACTTTACTCTAGGGTCCGTCTCTATTCCTTCTTGCTTTTCCATGTATTTCCGTTTGCGTCTTTTGCTTGCATTTTTGTTTATAAGTCCCATAGGTAGATGGACCCTTTATACCCTTACCCGGACCATAGTTGTGAACTCAGCCAGTCAATTAGTACGGTTGAGTCTAGGACTGGATCTGCCGCCTCTGATCTTTGGAATTTCCCCTTTTCAACGCCTGTATCGACCGACTCCGTGTCTGTGCAGGACACCATGGCCAGAATTAGGGGAACAACTATGGACCCCAATTACAGAGGCGGAGACTCAAACGAGTTATCGCCTGAAAATCAAGGCCCAGACGGGGCGATTAGAGAACCATCCGGCGGTACCCCCGCCACCCTAAGCGATAGCATTCTAGGCTCCTACAACGAGGAGACCTCTCCGGCTGAGGAGGCTGAGCAGCCAAAAGCTGCCAATGAGGCTCCCAACTCCCCATCCGGCTCTGATGACGGTCGGGTTGAAAGTAGTAGCTCCAGCTACTTAACCGTGTCAGAAGATAGCGAGGAGGCGGAGAGGCCTTCGTGGCAAAGCCGAAACGACCCTCTCATGATCGTCGTCTCCTTGAAGGACCGCGCCCTCATGCGGTCTTCTCTACAAGACTTTATCACCAGGCGGCCGCTTGGTGAAGGATACAAGATGACCGTGCCGGGGGAGTTCGGGACGGTTGTATGGGAAGATGACCAACCCAACGCTAACAGTTGGTTTGGGTGCTACGAGGCGGCTTTTCTAGCCAGTGTCCGATTCCCCCTTCACAACACAATCAAGGCCATACTTAGGGGGTATGGCCTAGGCGTTTGGCAGCTCACCCCGAATTCTTGGGTGAATATTTTAGGGTACATCGCCGCCTGCGAGATGCAGGGTCTCAACCCCGGCTGGGAGGCGTTTGCCCATATGCACTACTTGAGCCGGAGCCCAGGCGGCTGGAGGGCCTGGTACACCTTGACAACTCACCCCCAATACATGATGACCTTGGACAAGCCGTCTAAATGGTCGGACTGGAAGAACCGGTTCTACCTGGTCAAGGCCCCGTCTGAGGAGGAAAACAAGGAGCACCGGTCCTACAACCGGAAACCAGAGCTTATGGGGCAGAAGTGTCGGCTGCCCTCAGTTCCCGATAATGATAGGAGGGCCATTCTGGACTCCGGATTTTTTGAGTTGACCTCTACCTCTCTCTCAACCGGAGAGATAATAAGGGTACCTAAGAACTAGGTGCCCAAACACGAATTTTTCAAGGACGAGTGCTTTTTGTCCGCCTGTGGGCTTAGCAGCATGTTTAAGACCAAAGTTTATGAACCCTAGCCGATTAATTTGATGTCGGCTGACCTTTTTCTCTTGATTGAAATGTAAAATTCATATTTCTGACCGGGTGTGTTTTCGTTTTGCAGAAGAAGCTAAGAAGATGCTGCCCACCGCCAAGACACCCGCAAAGAAGGCTTCAGATATCCGCAAGGAGAATCTGGAGAAAAAGCTTGCCGCTCAGGCGGCTAAAAAGGTTAGCTCGCCTGACCTTCTCTATGTGTTTGGCTTTGATGTTGTTTTGGCTATTTATTCATCTAACCGTTTGTGGTTTGGTTTCAGGATGGGGGTGTTATTCCCCGTTCTTTACAAAAACAGATCCGGCAAAGGCCGTCTGTTGAAGAGCTTGCACTCAAGTTGCAGAAGACCGCTTCTACCGCCCGGGCAACAACCGGCGGTAAAACAATAAAGACCCCAGGCGGGTCTAACACTGAAACGACCTCGAAATAGGTCACTCCAATAAGGACCGCAACCGGTCCATCTGATGCCAGAGGCCAAAAGGCTTCCCAAAAAGGTACAAACCCCTTCAACCTCATGTTGCTCGACCTACCCATGCGGGTAAAGTCATACTCCTCTTCGCAGCCAGGAGATTCTCCGATCAGCCGGTTGTAATATACCCATCCGGTCTTTCAACTAATACCGGTTGTATTGTTGTTGCAGGCACTGCTCCGCGTGGAGGGGCTTAAAAAGGCCTACATCCGCAAACAGGAAGAGCTAAGAAGAGTCAAACGTTCTGCGGATGACGCACATAGCGTTGCTCACTATTCCATGATTGTGCATGACTTAGAAACTAAAGCTATAATCATGCAACAGGCGGATCAAGTCAAGTCCCTCCAACGGGCCCTCTCAGAGTCCATGCTCAAAATCGACAACCTCCAGGCGGTCCTGGATAACGCTGAAGATGAGCTAAAAAAGCATGAAGAGCCCCTCAAGCGGCTCGACCAAGCGGAGAAGAGCAGCAAACGACTGCAATTAGAGAATGACCGCCTGGTCAAGGAGGCTGCAGATGCTCAGCGCAATTTCAAGGCCACCTTAGAAGCTGATCAGAGCCGGCTCATAGAGGAGAATGAGCAGGACTGCCAAAACAGAATGAAAAGGGCGTTCTCCATCATCCACCCGGGTGCAGACTACAACGTCTGGGAGCTCGCCTACAAATACGCAGACCTGGCCATTCTGGCTGAAGAGGAGGGCCAGCCGAGGCCCGAACCGTATGAGCAGTGGGTGGACGCCGAGTTCCAGCGAATGCAGGCGGAAGCGGCTGCTTTGGAGGCGACAGTCGAGGATGAGGTTGCTCCCGGCTCCGTCCCCAACACCGACCCAGCTCATCCGAAAGGGATCCAGGCTTAGGGAACCTAGGTAACAGTGCAGCATGAGTAGCAACGACTTCTCGGCCTGCGCGCCGTGCATTATCTTGTAATAGCGCCGGAAGGGTCGGATTACTCTGTTGTTATTTTTCATTTTGAGTACTGATATTTTTACCGGCTGTGCCGGTTTATCTTGTAAACAATTTTAACATTTTCACCGGCTATGCCGGTTAATTCTGCTAAATTTCTACCGGTTGGTCCGGTTTTGAATGAATTTGCTTCTTTCTTTTTGCTGTTTTGAAAGTCTTGAATATCGCATTTTTCTTGCTTTGAATGAACTCGAATAAACAGCTTGCAATTGGTATCATCAAGCATCAAGTCAGCCCACACAAGCGGCAAGTCGGCTGTGTATAATAATTTTTGCGAGTATAGCCAAGAAAACCCAGCCGGTATTATTGCCGTCTGTGTCTTCGCAGGCTAGGCGAAGAAATTTGTGAGGGTAGGCAAAAGAACCCAGCCGGTACCATTATCGTCTGAGTCTTCGCAATTATTTGTATTTTTTGCCTTGTGTAAACCATGAATGTTTTTCCGCATGACTTTTTGGGGTTAGGATAGGTAATTGCCCCTGGACCGTCTGAGTCTTCGCAAGCAATTGTATTTTTTGCCTTGTGTAAACCACGAATGTTTTTCCGCATGACTTTTTGGGGTTAGGATAGGTAATTGCCCCTGGATAGGAGGCTGGCATAGATGAAATGGTGCCTGGCGGCTATCCATATGCTATAGCGCAAATGCTAACGACTTTAGCTAAGTGCTAAGTGCCAACCGTTTTTACCGATTTGCCGGTTGGGTTTTTGGGAAAGACCCTTTCAAAGGATTTAGGGTGTCAATTTGCCGGTTGGGCTTTTGCAAGAACCCCCTTTATAGATTATTGGCCTAACCCAAATTTTTGAGGCCTTCCTTCTCTTAGTCGATTAGGCGGTATGTTAAGTACCGTTTGTCTGTTTTGAGATCAGCCTTAAATGGTACTTGATCCAAAGAGGGGGTCGGTTGCATGTTTGGGAATGCTAACCCATAGTTCTTTGGAGCCATGGATCATTCAGGCGGGTAAGACCACCTGGTTTTTTATCACTAGAACAATTTTC